CGCAATTCTCTGTATTTAAAGTAGTTACGTATTAAAAGTTCCTTTTATATTTAATTACATATTCCAGAATTCCGGTCCGCGTATCGCGGGACCCTTCAATTTCATCTCATTTCTATGCAAGCTTTTCAAACATCCACGCGAACCCCCGGCCTTATTCATCGGAACACTGGGCGCCCTTATCTTTTTGCACGCTTTATGTTTTAATGAAAATTTTCTACTGTGCCGAAATTTTCTCCAGATATTCGATTTAACGATACACTTTTACGATAATTGTTCCAACGAACCAACGATATGTATATTCCATGGATCGCTTTTAATTTTATTTTCATTATATTCTATATCTCTAAACAGGTAATATCGATAGAATTTTAATGAGATTGATTAAATATATAAGAGAATTCCGAACGTATTGACAATTGAGGACCTTGCAGAAAGAAGAAAACTATTCATTTTTCAATTATTACGAGTATCTAAAAAATTTATATTATTATAATTTCTATTTTTATTAATAGTTTTTGATTTACACATAATATATTTAGTGTAAATCAAAATTCGATATTGTGTAATTTAAGTATAAATGCGATGTGTAGTAAGATTTTATTAACAAAACAATAAATTGTAAAATGTAATTATATTTTTAACATTTTAAAAATCATTTATTAATAAAATTCATAAATAATTTATCAACTCAACAATTGTGATGTAATATGTGAAAATATATATTTTTTAATGTTAAATCAAAGCAATAATTTTATAATTTTAAGCAATTTTTCTTTAATTCCTTCTTAATTTATTCTCTTTACAAGGTCTTCAATTCAATCGCCATCGGTGGCATTGTACTTGTCACTAATAATTCTTTTGATAAAGGAATGATGTAAGACGTAAATATAACAACGAAGAAAAGCGGCTGAGACGGCAGCAACGACTTTTCGAAGTTTCGCTTTCTCAGCGGAACATTCTTTCCCCGATAAGATAATATTTCCGCGCGAAGAATTTTAAATAGCTCGTCGAACGGGAATCGACGCCTTTCGTCGTCACTTCGTATTGCACGATCAGATTAAAACTACTCGTTAATTGTGAAACGATAATGAAAAATCCAAATAGATTCATTAGCGAATTAAATTTTCGACAGATTTTGCAATCATTACTCTTTTTTTATTTATGTATGATTATATGATTAATAATATGATAATGCTATATTCGTATTGTTGTAGACCAACTCTTATCTTTAATATTTATCTTTGTTAAAAATTCATTTGCAATTTAATCTATTGTATTTATAGTATAATGATATTAAAATGTTATATCTAGAAACAATTCAAGATTTTATTTTGTCATCGTTTTAGTCATTGAAATTTCTATTGAATAAGTTTGAAATACTAATAAAATGAATAACTAAAAGCGTCATCAATTGGAGTCTAAAGAAAAACAAAACAAGATTGAAATTCTTCGAAACGATAACTTGCCAAAATACTTGAGGAAAATTTGTTTGCAAACAATTACTTTATCAGAACTCACAAAAGAAAAGTCATCGGCGTGGAATTTCTAACAGTCGCCAAATATTCGAGACTTGAAATATAATAACTGCCAAGAATCGCGTTGAAACTAATTTAATCTATCTACACTTCAAAACAGATGCTTAATTTCATAATTATTATCTGAGATATTGATTATATCCTATAAACGGTTAATAACGATTTTGAATCGATCGAACATTATCGAAACGTAAAGAAAACGTTTTAACGCTAACTTCAAATGCATGCTCGATGTTTTTCGAAGATTTATATCGCAACGAAACACGAACGAAACGCGAGTTTATCGATTATGCAGTTATCCGGGAATTTTTTTGATTTGTAATTACATCACTATGAATCTTGGATATCGACAAATTATCGAAATTTTCGTGAAAACGAATTGAAATAAACTAAATAGAAGATCGAGAATAATGAGAAAAAATAACGAAATAATTATTGAATGAAAAGCAAATACCACTCGCGATATTGACAGAATTGGGACACATATCGATTGTAATCACGAAAATAACATTTAATATAATATTTTAGTACTTACATAAATTGTGAGCCGCAATGTTGCGCTCCGTCGGCAAGTCGCAGAGTAGTGTATAGTATATCCAATAATCCACAAAGAATAGCGTAATACTGCACTGATAAAACTTTCACTTTATGCTTTTCTTTTTCTTTTATTTGCCAAATAATCGGCTTTTCTTTCAAATCACTGATTTAAATCACACTTAAAACAGTCGCACCACTTGTAGGTTTGAACACACACCTCACGAAACACCACAAAACAATACGAAATTGAATCAATGAAGAGTACTCGATGCAGAAATTGCTGGTTGAATAGCACCGGTTTCCAATGTTTGTGCGTACGTATATAATCGCCTGGTTATGTATCCAAACGAAGAAAACTCCTTACTGTAAAAGCACGAACGTTATTTTCGATCACACTGCTAAGATAGTTGAAAGAGAACTGACGTGTTCGCGGAACAGGCGCGCGTTTTGTTCCGTGAACTTGGTCAAGACGAAAGAAATCGACTCTTGCAACGAATCGAATCGTATCGAATCGAGTCGTTTGGTATTATCGAAACAAATTGCGTCGAAAGCGCGAAAATCGCGCGAACCACACTCCGAAATCGGTGTATCGCACATGAAAGACGGGAAAGCAATGCGGCACGAAATTCACACAGAGGCACTGCTAACGAGACGAAAATGACCGATCGGCCGATCCGATGGAACACGAGCACACACGAGAACGCGACTACCGATGATCGAAGATTCTCGCTTGCAACCGACAAACGAGAAGGACAGAAACCGAAGACGGATTACGTATAGAGCGCACGCGCACGTTCTAACGCGCTTTCGTTACGTAAAAGAAGTGCGCGTTGGTTAAACGTCACCACATCAGGATGGTACACACTACGCGGCTTCGTGTAAAAGGTATAGAGAGAAGTAGTCGGAGAACCAGGTATATTTTACCGCGGACGCGAAAGGCACCGTGTGCTAACCTACTTCTCCTTCCGTTGACTGAAACTCTTCGCACCAACAACGATGACGACGACACGACAACGTCGAGACCCACACGGGTGGCACGGTACACGCGGCTCGTTGTCTCTCCTCTCCTCCGCACGCGCGGTCCCTCGCTTCTTCGACTTCGCTGTTTGTGTCACCGCGACACCACGAAACCAGAAAACAAACAACTGCCGTCGAGGACGCGTCTTGTTTGCAGGAAAGCTCGACTCTTTTTCACTGGGCGGAACTCGTTGTCGTTGCGGGGGAAAAGGGGGACACAGAGGGAGAACGAGGGACACACATACACACAGTGGCGCGCGCGCGCGTGCTCACGGGAGGGAATGAGAGAAAAAGAGAAGGAGAAAGAGAGAAAGAGAGAGAGACAGCGCGGCAGAACGACACAATCCGACTACGACGGAGGTCCGACTCGAACTGAGCGCCGAGCGGCTGATCGAG